GGAACGCTATTGGCAGCCAGTGCAGCGCCCTCAGCACCGGTTGGATGTGTTCCCTCATAGGGGCACCCATCAACAACCTAGCTGCGGCATTCTGCACCAGCTGCAGCTTCCGAAGTTGCCCCAAGGGCAGCCCCATGTAGAGAGCATTGGAGTAATCCAACCTCGAGGTGACCATCGCGTGGATCACTGACGCCAGATCATTGCGTTCGAGGAAGGGGACCAACTGCCTAATCTTTTACCGCCATCTCATACGACTTCATAAACGTTCGATAGGATGCTCTTGACGCTTCGTCATGGGCTCGCCGCCACTGTCTCTCTAGTCGTCTAAGTCCTCGCTTCATCAGCCGCAGCCCCGGGTTATAGCAGAGGGCGCCAGCCTAGGTCTCGAGAGGCTGTGTGAAGAAAAGGAACCAATGGAGACCAGACCTTCTAAAAGTCAGTAGGCTTAGAAGGGCATGAGTTTGCTTAGGATCATGAATTATCTCGAGAGGCTGTGTGAAGAAAAGGAACCCATGGAGACCAGACCTTTGGCTGGTTTCTTGGACCCCTTCTAAAAGTCAGTAGGCTTCGAAGGGCATGAGTTTGCTTAGGATTACACTGCGAATGAACAACTCTTATTTGTGTGCCCTGGAAATGTGACCATTCTTTTGTGTTTGCGTATTTGTGTGTGTGTGTATGCCTGGAAGTCACTGTGACTTCTGGCGACCCCTAGTGGGGCTCGGACGTTTTAGAGAGGTCTGTTACACATTGGGAGAGTCCCAGCGCCGTCATGGACGAGGCCAGGTCCAATGAGCGGGTGTAGGTTGCGTCGTCGGCATGAACATTGAAGTCCCCCAAAACCAACAGCCTGGGGTGCTCCAGCGCCCAGCCCGACACGGCCTCCACCAGAGATGGCAGGCTGCTTGCCAGTGCGTTGGGCAGACAGTACACTAACCAGACAGCCAAACTCTCCCCAGCTTCCCACACGAAGCCAGCACAGTCAATGCCCGAGATCCTCGCGACCGGGAGGGCCCTGAAGGAGTAAGCCTCCCGAACGAACAAAGCCACTCCTCCCCCCCGCCCCTTTGTCCGGGATTGGTGGAGGACCGAGAAACCTGGGGGAGCCATCTGGGAGAGCGCTACTGTCTCCCCATCTCGCACCCAGGTCTCGGTCACGCACGCCATGTCCACGTCCTGATCCACGATGAAATTTTGGAGAACAGAGGTCTTATTGTTTATGGACCTGGCATTACACAGCACCAATGTCGGAGAGGGGTTCTTCTCCACTGCCCCACTACCTGTCACCTTTGGGATGGGACGCAGGCTGGAAGGGGGCCGAGTTTCTCTGTTTCTCTGCTCCCTTCCCTTCCATTTCTGCCTGTTCCCACTGCTATACCTTCCCCTCCCCAAGAGCACTTGAATTCCCTGCCCTGCCACTTCTGCACCTGATGGTCTTCGACTGCCACTTGGCACATCCACAGATCCACCTGCGAAGTTGGAAAGGGTACACACCAGCTAAGCCGTTTACTCGGGGTGGCCACTTGTTTATTCACACCCTATCTCCTGCTAACAATTCCTGATCCTATTTAAGTAAGGCACTACAATCCTAACTAATTATCCCGCCTTTGCTCCGATAGCTAAACCTTTTTTTCTTTCCTTCTATCGTAAAAAACTCTCTCCCTGCCAGTAAATTCAATAAAGGCTAGGGAAAACCTATTTAGTCAGTGGGGCATTAGACATGCCAATCCACTATCCCCGTAGTACCCTCCCGCTACTTACCCTATGAAATCAGATTGCCACCCTTAACAATCCACTCCTAATCAACTGGGCACTCATAGGGTGCTTAACACTGCTGTTTGTTGTTAATAATGCATGTAGGTAAAAGCAGTGACAATACATTTCTTTTAAGGATACATTGATTGGCAGGAGCCATGGCTCAGTATTCAACCCACCTTGAGCCATGGGGAAAGGGGAGGATATAAATATTTTAGTAAATAGGTATTTGCCTTGCATGTAGGAGGTCCCAAGTTGTCTGTGGATCTCCAGCGGTAGCGCTGGAGAAGACCTTTAGGTGATACCCCCAAGAACTTTGGCCACTCAGCTTGGGTAGTGGGGGGGGGGGTTAGTGGGACCAGTAGGTGGGCGGTTCAGGGCTGGTCCATGCTCTTGTGCGTGATGAGAGCTGCCTTCAGCAGCTTCTTCTGAGACCCAGATTGTTCCTTCTCTCTCTCAGGTGTGCACAAAAGAAGAACAGGACATCCTGCAGCGTGATTCCAACAAGAGCCAGAAGCTGCTGAAGAAACTCCTTGCAGGTCAGTGCCTTCCCCGAAGGGGAGGGTGGACTCCTGTGCTGTCTCTTAGAGGCTGCAAATGAAGTTATACTTTCTGATTTGTGTGGGTTACCAGCTGTCTAAAAAGAGTGCTGAAAGTATCTGTTTTTCAAGGCTGTTGCTCCCTTCTCCCCTCCTCTCCCCCGGCATGGCTTGTTGGGCTTCAATTCCCTGTTCGGCCCTGAAGCTCATAGGGTGACCTCGGGCCAGGGTCAGCTCATTCTCACTCAGTGGGAGGGTTGTGAGAATCAAATGCAGGAAGGGGGAGCCGTACATGCTGCCTCCCCTGCCTTGAAAGAAGGGTGGGAGGAAACAATGCGATGTTCCCTCTAAGCTGAGTTAGTGTGAGCCAGCTCACAGTTTTGTAGCCTCTGGCTCACATATTTTTGTCTTAGCTCAGGAAGGATGGCTCCAGAGCAAACTAATTGATGCAGTAGCCAAATCGCTTGCTCACAGCTTTAATGCCAGTAGCTCACAAAGTAGAACGTATGCTCACAAGACCCCACAGCTTAGAGGGAGCATTGGCTATCACAGTGCTGCTGTGCAGCCCATTCCGGTGGAGACGGGCATCCCGAACTGGCACAGGCAAAGCCGACCAGGACGTGCCTCTCTGTGTTCCAGGCGCTGAGAATTCAGGGAAGGCGGAAGTCAGCAGCAAGGACTTGCTCCCCCGTCAAGAGGCCTGGCTCAAGGCGGGTTTGGAGACGGCCACGAAACACAAGGACAAATTGCTGGAGTATGACAAGACAAGGTACTGAGCGCAGAGGTCTTGGTAACAAAGGGCTGCTGGAGGCAAAGGGGCCTTTCCCATAGGTTAAGCCCGCAGAGGTGTCGAACTCATTTGTTACGAGGGCAAGATCTGACATAAAGGTCACTTCGTCGGGCTGGACCACGTGCGCCATAAAATGTAATGCCAGGTAGAGGTATACATTTTATAAAGGACCCAGGCAAATCCAATTAACAATATCGTTTTTTACTCAAAAAATACAAACATGCTTTAAACCAGGGGTGTCAGACATGTGGCCCGGGGGCCGAATCAGGCCCCCGGAGGGCTTATATCAGGCCCGCAGTGGAACTGGCCATCTCCTGCTTCCAGTTCTGCTGCTGCTGCAGCGGCATCATAGCTTGCTTCGCAAGACTCTTAATCACTCAGCCATTTCATGTTTTAACCTGGGTCCTAGACTCAGAACTCTGAGCAGGAGATTTCTGTGGTGAATGTCGATAAATCAAAAGTAGGTTTGCAGCTTACAGAGCTAATGTTTTAAGTCTGCTTTTATTTTAACAAGTAAAAAAATCTTTGTGTTTGTGTCCTTTATAAAGTTTATATTCTGACAGAGTTGATTCAGTCACCAAAGCAGTAGCCACGTTCCTGGCCCTGGTGGCAAAAAAAAAGGAACAAGGAGGGGAAAGCTCAAATTGTTCTGACTTGATGTAGCGGGTTCCAGTTGGAGGAATTATTTTATGTAGCCAGACGATTTTAGACAGTGGAACACACTCATATTGGGATAACGCACCCTACTGTTCATGTATGTGCTTTTAAATAGTGTTGACGTTTTACTGGTTGTTTTTATTCCATAAATGTGTGTATGTGTGCTTAAGACTTTTGGTCATGCAAGCCGAAATAAATATATATAAAGTTTATATCTCTGCTACCTGGCATTACATTTTATGACACACATGGCCCGGACAAACAAGGTCTCATTTATGTCAGATCCGGCCCTCATAACAAATGAGTTCGACACCCCTGCTTTAAACATTAATGCTCTTACACTATTTCCTTACAGTATCTCCCTGATGCCTGCCCTCCCACTTTCACTGCCCATTACGCATTAGCACTGGGACAGTATACAGGGACATAATGCACAGCCTCTGTCCTCTGGCGAAAAAGGTAATGACCAATTGCTCATGGGCCAGATAAGACCCTGGGCAGGTCGGTTCCAGCCCGCGGGCCATATGTTTGACACCCTTGTGATAAGGCATCTGGAAGGCAAATGTGCCGTTTCCACTCCTGGCCACCGCACCTCAGTGTTGCTCTTCCTGTTTAAGGCAGGTGTGCTTCGGTTTCCCACTCGGCGGGCTGCTTTCAAAGGGAGAACCTGGGGATCTTTTCCTGGCATCCACCAAGGGCTCTGATTAGTCGTGGGAGATCTGACTGTCTGCAGATCTAAAAAAAAAGAGTTGTTAAAGCAGCTGCCGTCACACTGTTTGATTTTATCCTCTCTCACTTCCCTTATGCAGTGTATTTTATTTTCAGTTAGCCTTCTCTCTGCATTGCTTGGGCTTCCTGTGTGTGTGAGTGATTTCCCTCCCTGCCCCCATTGCAGAGCTTCTGCCTGTAATGTTGAAGAGCTATGCGTAGCCATTTTGTGATCTGCTCTGCCTTCTGCAGCAGCCATTTTGTAGATGCATCTGTTGCCCTGTGTTAGAGTTCCAAATGTGCTTGCAGGCTCAAAAAGGCTGACGACCCCTGTCCTCTCGGACTTTTCTAGTTCTTGGATGCATCATCTGGAAATCCCAGGAACTGGAACTGGGACCTTCTGCATTCAGAACATGTGCTCTGCCTCTGAGGCATGAGCCCTTGCCTTAGAGGGGGGAAAACAGGTATCCTCCCTCACCTCCCAGGCAGAGGTTTCAGCCAGATTCGAATTGGTGGCCACAGGAATGGACAAAGTAACTGCCAAATGCTCCACCCAAGCTTGCTTTAATGAGCAGTAGGCTTAAAATAGATAAAAGGCAGTACTTCTTCACCCAAAGAGCAAATAAGACATGGAATTCACTATAGCAGGAGGTGGTGGTGGCTACAAGCATAGACAGCTTCAAGAGGGGATTTGATACACATATGAAGTCCATGAATGGCTATAAGCCACAAGGTATAGATCGACTGACTCTGTCTGGGGCAGTGATGCTCTGTCTTCTTGGTGCTTCGGGGGCCACAGTGGAAGGGCTTCTGGAGTTCTGGCCCATATGGTGGACCTCCTGATGGCCCCTCGGTTTTGGCCACTGTGTGACACAGAGTGCTGGACTTGGTGCTTGGGGGGGTCACAGTGGGAGGGCTTCAGGAGTTTCGGGCCTGCTGGTGAACCTCTTGATGGCACCTGGGTTTTGGCCACTGTGTGACCCAGAGTGTTGGACTGGATGGGCCCTTGGCCTGATCCAACATGGCTTCTTTGATGTTCTATCATGTTCTCATCTTGTTAGAAAGCCAGGTTTGAGTTAGTGCTCCAGTGCCCATTCATGAAAAATGTTATTGTGCTATATGGCAGGAAAAAAGCTTAGTGGGTCCGGATCCTTGCAGCCCTGCCACTGGAAAGATCAGATCACTTGAGGGCTGCCACTGCAAACACTGCATTGGAACGCAAGCGTGTCAGTCTGTTTATATCTGTATTTCTAATAGCGAAGGCGCCCCCTGCATGCGGATATCTAAATCCGCACATCGGGGGCACCTGGGGGCCAGGGAGATTTTCCTGCACATTTGGGGCAATCCCCAGGTGTGCAGAAAAATCTGAAAACTTGAAAAAAATATATAGGGGGAATATTTAAAGAGCGCAGGCGCAGGAAACGCTCTGAAAATGCCGCCACCGCCGCCTGGGAGGGAGATGGGGAGGGGGCGGGAGAAGGCTTGGCGGGCCGGCAGCTGTAAGCCGCTCAGCCCTCGCTGCCGGTGGGAGGGGAGGGAGGAGAAAGTTCGGCAGGCCAAGCTCAGGTCTCTCGCCACCGGTGCTGGGGGGGAGGAGGGCGAAGGAGAGGTGCGGGGCTCGTTGTGGGTGCTGGGAACGGGGGGGGGCAGGGGAGAAGGCTCACCTGCGGCTGCTTCCTTTTCCTCCCCCCACCCCCTTCTTGTTTTATCTAATTGTTTAAAATGCTTTATATATACATTCATCTGTCTTTTAACATTGCTTTGTTCGTTCACCGCCTTGGGGACACGAAATTGGAAAGGCAGTGTAGGAATGTCTTAAATAAATAAAGCTGCTGGGAGTGCGGTAAGAAGTCCTCGAAGCCTGTTACTGAAACCAGGCCCCCGGACGGGCTGCCTGATGCCCTCCTCCTGTTTGTTCCTTTCTCCGGGCAGCGCACGCCGAACTCAAGTGATCGACGACGAGTCGGACTACTTTGCGACGGACTCCAACCAGTGGCTCTCCAAGCAGGAGCGGGAGGCCCTGGAGAGGAGGGAGAAGGAGCTGCGGGAGTTGCGGCACAGCTCACGGCTCTCCCGGAAGGTCACCCTTGACTTTGCCGGCCGGCAGGTCTTGGAGGAGCAGGACGGCTTGGCGGAATATCACAGCAAGTGAGGACTGATCTCTGGAGGGTAGCCCCAAGGCCCTCTTTCTCTCAACCCGGGGCAAGAACGTCAGAACAGTGTTTATTTTTTAAAATGCCCTTCCTTTATTCCCCCGCAATGGAGACTCTCGGTGGCTAACATCATTCTGCTGTCCTCCATAATTAAACATTATTGTATGGCATTGGGTGTGGTGCAGACCGCAAAAAGAAGAAACTGTGAGGCAACTGCGCTAGAAAATATTTCAATAAACAATCACAAAATATGTACAAAAATGTGTACAAAAATCATATAAATGCACAAGGCAGTTGAAAAAGGTGTGACGATGGTCTCCGGAACGTTCTATCGTTTCGATACTATTCTTCTTCCGAAAGTGGATGAAGAAGAAGAAGAAGAAGAGATTGGATTTATACCCCGCTCTTCACTTGGAGTCTCAGAGCGGCTTACAAACGCCTTTCCCTTCCCCTCCCCACAACAGACACCCTGTGAGGTGGGTGGGGCTGAGAGAACTCTGACACAAACTGCTCTTTTTCAAGGACAGCTGTGCCAGAGCTTGTGACTGACCCAAGGTCACATCAGCAGGTGCAAGTGGAGGAGTGGGGAATCAAACCCGGTTCTCCCAGATTAGAGTCTGCACACTTAACCACTGCACCAAACTGGCTCTCCTGAAAGCAGCGACTTAACCACTGCACCAAACTGGCTCTCCTGAAAGCAGCGACTCTTGGTCTGTCATTTCAACAAGTAGGTATCAAAAATTTCATTATTATTCACCGATGTCTCATAACTTAGTTGCAAGAAATTCTCTGAAAGAATGTTCCTAGGGCATGATACAAGCACTTTGCCCTAGGAACATTCTTCCAGAGAATTTCTTGCAACTAAGTTATGAGACATCGGTGAATAATAATGAAATTTTTGATACCTACTTGTTGAAATGACAGACCAAGAGTCGAAACGGTATCGAAACGATAGAACATTCCGGAGACCATCGTCACACCATTTTCAACTGCCTTGTGCATTTATATGATTTTTGTACACATTTTTGTATATATTTTGTGATTGTTTATTGAAATATTTTCTAGCGCAGTTACCTCACAGTTTCTTCTTTTTGCGGTCTGTTCTGTGACTGTGACCATCATTTTTGAGCCACATTCCATTATTGGGTGTGGTGTAGCCAGGAGATCCTATGATCGTCTGGCAGCCCTGAAGCTCTGGCTCTTTCAAAGTGATGAGCCAGGCTTATTTCTTTTCGGCCGAGAGAGCCCTGGAAGAGCTGTGCCTTGCCCATGGTTACCCAGCTGGCTTCAAGTGGTGGAGTCTGGAATTGAACCCGGTTCTCCAAATTGGACTCCGTTACTCTGAACCACCACACCACGCTGGCTCCCTCTGCTCTCCTCCCTTTTATCACCACAACAGCTCTGCGAGGCAAGTTCGGTTGGAGTGTGTGCGGCCGGCTCAAAGTCCCCCGGCCAAATTTCATGCTGGTAGCAGGGTCTGAACCTTGATCCCCCCAGCTCCTAGTCTAGCATCCTGGCCACTGCAGCAAGCTGGTGCATGTTTCGAACGGCATCAGAAAAGAACAGAATATAATGACAATAACGTTTAACCAGCCAAGCCCTAATCTATGCCCTGGCTCCACTGCTTTAACTAGATGACCATTCTCACCCCAGACTTCTCCAAGCATCCTCTTACACAACTCTGTTTTAGAACCTGGTTGAAAGATTAGCAAGGATGTGTGTGTTTGGGGGAGGGGTGTTTCAAAGGACAGGGGTGGCAGTTGAGAAGGCGCGGGCCTGGATGGGAGCAGATCAGACCCTGGCAAGAGACAGAAGGCAGTCCTTGTTGCAAGAGCCAGGGTGGTGTAGTGGTTGAGAGCGGTGATCTCCAGTCTGAAGAACCAGGTTTGATTCTCAATTCCTCCTTCACAGGAAGCCTGCTGGGTGACCTTGGGCCAGTCACAGTTCTCTCAGTACTCTCTGAGCCCCCACCTGCCTCACAGGGTGCCTGGTACGAGGAGAGGGGAAAGTGGTTGTAAGCTGCTTTGAGACTCCTTAGGGTAGAGGACAGCAGAGTATATCAGAAACAACCGTTCTTCTTTTTTTCTTCTTTTTCTTGCTGCACTGGCTGCATGCAGAGACCATGTTTCAAGAATGGGGTTCCCAGTTTGGGGAGGGTGTGTGGCTGAACTGGGTGGGAGAAGGGGGATTTAGACTTTGCAGACAAGAAATTATGAAGGGGAAATGTTCAAATGAGCAAGACGTCTGTCTGTCTGTCCATCTATCTATCATCTATCTATCTTCTGTCTGTCTATCTTCTGTCTGTCTATCTTCTGTCTGTCTATCTTCTGTGTCTATCTTCTGTGTCTATCTTCTGTCTGTCTGTCTGTCTGTCTGTCTGTCTGTCTGTCTATCTATCTATCTATCTATCTATCTATCTATCTATCTATCTATCTATCTCTTCCTCTTTGTGAAGGCACATGAATTCAGTAGTGCAATTAAGTAACTTTAGACTCTGAACTTTCATCACAAGATCTGATTCATTTAAGAGATGCTGACAAAATTTGTACTCTGTTGACTCCAGAGTACGAGATGACCTTCCCAGCTGCTGGATTCTTCCCTGGCCCAGATGGT